GCTGCATAATAACCCAACAGACATTGCAACAAATCGCATTTTATAGTCTATAACTACAGGGAAAAAACCGATTAATGAAATGCAGGAAAATGGGAAAGCTAAGAAGAGGAAGAAGAGGAGGGTAAGTAGGATGGCTGTTACAGCTTTTCCCTTCTTCCTCTGTTGTGATCTGAAGTAAACTTTTCTAAACAGGACCAGAGTGGAAACAGTCATGAGTGGGAGGCAAAGTATAGCATTCAATAGAAAGTGGAATAAAGCGGTATACTGTGGAACGGTAAAAAAGCAACAATCAAGTTGATTGCAATGAGCAGGAAAGAAGTGATCCATATTGTGGCACACACAAGGGTGGAAAAGTGTGGTGGTCGGTGGCATCGATGCCAAAGGGGGAAAACAACAGAAACACACCTGTCCATGCTAATGGCTGTCAACAGATATTGACCAGTGTTGTACATGAAGAAAAAAAGAATGAAACCCAATAATAAATCAAATGCATATAGGGAGTTAAGATAAGAATGACCTCAGAGGATATATAATGGAAAAAGTAAATAAGCATATGAGAGCCCCAAGGTCAGCCGCAGCCAGATGCAGGATGAAGGTGGTGAAAGGATTCCCCTTCATGCAAAAGCCAAGAAACCAGATGACAGTTCCATTCCCAATGATTCCAAAAATGCTAATGAGTAAAATGGAGATAAGTAAAATGGGGATAAGAATGTCTGCTATACGATATGGTGATAATTCATAATCAAAATCATCCTGGGGAGTTAGGTCAGTTTCAATTTCTGCTCCAATATCTTCCAACGAAGCATTCAAAGTGGACCAGGTTCCCAGGCCATCGTTGCTCATCTTGCTGGATCTCTACTTCTGAGATTTTTCTTGTATAGCTCTTCTACCAGGAGAAAATAAACAAATGTGGAGTCAGTTTTAGCTATAAAGCTCAACCTATTAAACTGAGACAAACAATAATAAAAGAGACATGCTATAGTGGGAATTAATGACTGATAAACAAACACATTAGGAATATGGTTCACAGGAATGTTTGTCACAACTATCAGTTTCAAAGGCTTAGGGGGGAAATGGAGTTTGCCGATGTGTTGTGGATCTTTCCTTTAAGTAAAAAAACTGCATTCACAACATCAGTAAGCACATCATTTTAGAACTCAAATTCTCCTCTTCTGCTCTCTGACTCAGCCTTAAGACCAGAAACTAACCTCTTGTGTTGTGGACTTTGGTTGGTTGGGTGTTGGAGAAGAGGAGTGTGAGAAGGAGTTGAACAGCTCTTGTGATTCTGGAATGAATTGGGAAGGCATGTTAATTTTATTGTTATTAAAATGTGATTTTGAACAAAAGTGGGTAAATAAAATTCAAGTTGAATAGGGATTGTTAAGAAATATGAAAATTAGAAAAAACAACCCCACAATAGATTAGCCAGACAGCAAGAGTTTTACAATGTGGAATGTATTAGACAAACCATTACTCTATCCTGCCTAGTACTTTCTCCTCTGACTGAATGTGGGAACCAAAAATTTATGCCATCTTCAGCAGCCATCCACCCGGTATCCTTCTAAAAGAACACTCCAGGGAGTTAGCTTGTCCCACCTATCAGCCAAAGGTGCACAGCACTGTCATTCAGCTACAGATCCCCTCTTACCTTTGCTAATGAATGATACCAAAAGTAGCTATTCACATTGCTCTCAAAAACTTTGGATCAGCATCCCTCCAGCATGGTGAGTGGGAGCAGCAAGTGGTGCTGGAATAAGCAGGTAATCGGAAGATTTGCAGAAATTGTTAAGATGCCTCATCTGGCTCTTAGCAAGATGTGTAGGATTCTGCCCATGTGTCTTCAGTTCTGTGCAATCCATTTGCCAGCATCGTGTGATAAGCTGGTTGCTTTGTGCATTGGGTCTCAGGATAGCATTTGGCAAACTCAGGAGGAGACTCTTGCCTTCTAAAGTTCAGTGCCCCAAGCAAGCACTCTTGAGAATAGAGAGTTTGCAAGTGGTAAGCAAGTCCAACTTCTCTTTGTCCCTATCTGGAGAAATATCTTCCTTGATTAGAGTGTCACCTGACCCATTAACAGAAAGACTAACCAGTGTATTCAGAGAGTAATCAGCTTGCGGTTGGTTCTGCTGGGGAAGAACGTAGGCTGGGGTAGAGAATTATATCTGAAGAACAAAAAAAGAGAGTTCTGCTAGATCAGGTCAGTGCCCCTTCCAGTCAATTGCCCTGGTCTCACAGTGGTCAAACAGTTGCTTCAAGGAAGACCACAACAGCTTCTGAACACAGTGGCGTAGCGTGGGGGGTGCAGGGGGGGCCGGCTGCACCGGGCGCAACATCTGGGGTTAGGGCAAATCCACGGGTTAGGGGGCGCAAATCCACGGGTTAGGGGGCGCAAATTACTTGCCTTGCCCCGGGTGCTGACAACCCACGCTACGCCACTGTCTGAACACAACAGTACTCTCCTCCCCCGTGATGTTCTGCTGGCAGTCCTCAATCGCCTTAATTTTCCAACCCTCTTGGGAAAACTTTGACATGTGTGGGAGGCCAATCTGCTTTTTTGGGTGGGGCGTGGGCACACTTCTGTCTGATCCCATATGCACCAGTTCTTTACAGCCTTTATTTATTGATATCGACGTACTCTTCATTCCATCTTGGCGACAAGGAAAAAATAATTCTCAGTCTGAATAAGGCTGCAATCTAGGCCAGGTCAAGGGATTGTGTGTGTGTGTGTGTGTGTGTGTGTGTGAGAGAGAGAGAGAGAGAGAGAGAGAGAGAGAGACCTACTGCATGCCCCCTTCCACCTGGTTCTTAGTTTTTTCCATTTAGTCATTCCATATCCCATTCCACTGAATTTTCTTCGGGTTGTTCTGGGGGTTTTATGCCCCTCTCAGCGCTACACAAAGCATGTCTATTATGCAATGGTGGTATAGTTTTGGATACAGAAGCCCAAACATGGGATGTATCAGCTTGATATTACTGGACATGAGACTTAGATATGTGATATAGAAGACTCTGTATGAGAATGGTCTACTGGGCACATGTTCAGGACCGTTAAATGCCAGGACCTTGTTATCTGCCACCAGAGCTATCTTGCTTGAACTTATGCAGAAGATAGTTGGGTGTTTCCTGTGAGAGGAGACAAGTTACAAAAGCATCAAACCCAAAACTTATATTATGGGGGAAAATAACTACTATATTTTTCGCTCCATAGGGCGCGCAGGACTATAGGGTGCACCTAGTTTTTAGGAGGGGGGGGGGTTCAAGAAAAGAATATATTTAAAGGGAGTGCTGAGCAGAGCCAGTATGCATCCCAGGCTCTGCTCAGCGCTCCCTTTCACAAGCCGCGTGGAGTGTGTGTGTGGCTCTTGGGGGCTTTTTCCCGAGTAGGGAGAAGGGCAGCCCTTCAGTGATTGGCTCTCCTCCTCCCTCCTCGGGGGAAAGCCCCCAAGAGCATCTCCGGAGGGCAGCGGGATGAAGGCTCGCTGCTGCCCTGTGGAGGCTTTGCGGGCTACCCCAGAGCTGCTCAGGAGCTTATCGGGGCTGGCGTGGAAAGCCCAGACTTCCCCCACCAGCCCCAACAATCTCTGGGAGTATTCCCAACCTCCCGCAGAATCCGCACACTCTTTAAAGAGCGCACCGCTCTTGGGGGCTTTTCCCTGAGGAGGGAGAAGGGACTAACTGGCTGCGCCAGTCCCTTCTCCCACCTCATAGAAAAGCCTGCAGGAGCCGTGCGCTCTTTAAAGGGTGCGTGGCTCCTGGGGGCTTTTCTACAAGGTGGGAGAAAGGTCCCTTCTCCCTCCTGGGGAAAAGTCCGCAAGAGCCACACGGAGCTTGTGTGCGACTCTTGGGGGCTTTTCCCGCCTGCCTCCCCCTGCATTCGCTCCATAAGACGCACACACATTTCCCCTTGCTTTTTAGGAGGGAAAAAGTGTGTCCTATGGAGCGAAAAATACGGTATATATGCAATAATGATATGCAAAAGAATTCCAAAACATAATGGGGGTAATTAAAGTTCTGGGCCTCAGACCAAATCCAGTTCTCAATCCTTGGGTTCAATCCTTCTGCATCAGTCCAACAGCAAGTTAATTCCTCTCTTTTGAAACATCAGATTTACTTTCATTAATCGTGCACGCACACACACACTTAGAGAGAGAGAAGACAGACAGACAGACAGACAGAGAGAGAGAGATACAGAGACTGCAGGAGCTGGGTTTGAAGACAGTAATCTTTCTCTGCCACCCATCAGGGCTTTGTGCCATTCTGATGATGAGTCTTACTTGCTCATGCTGATTTTCGGTTAACCTTTTATGTGAGCAGCTTGCACACTGTGGTGGGTCACTTAGGTTGTGCCAGTGAAAAGCTAATCAGCTTAAGAGGAGCCCAATCATCTTCCCCCCTGCTCAGAGGTGACTCTTTGCTCTGCAATGCACAGTGGACTGCATGGTTTCACCTGCCTGCTTTATTCTCATGCCCCATGCCAATCCTTCTTAATAAGCATTGACCAGAATGATGTGTCAAGGAGAGTCTTTATCCATGGTGATTTCAGTTCTTCACCATGTAAAGAGTCTAGTGTAGCTTTGGATATAGGCTTGACGGCTAGCATTGAGTGGAAAGTGCATTGAGGCATGTTATGGAACCCCCCCCCCCAGTATGCTCTGTATTTCCCCCAAAAAACTTTTTTGGAAAGATAGAGAAGCATTGATGTCATGACTCACTTCTGCTAATTGTCACATTGCCCTATAAAGTTGTAGATGGCAGAATTTTGTGGATTTCTATATGCACATAGTTACAATGTCTATATCACTACCTTCGTATAATAAGCAGGGATCTTTTTCAGCCAGAACTCTCCGGAACTCAATTTCGGCACCTCTCAGATGGGTGCCATTGAAATTGTAATAGAACAAAGGAGGCCTTTATGGTGAGTTTCTGCAGCTCTTTTTCTAGAAAAAGAGCACAGAAAATAGGGATTGTACTGGTGGAATGTTCTCTCATGCACCTTTTTAAAAAATCTGGGGAAAACATTTTCTTCTGTTTTCTTCAAACATTTGGGCCCTACGTGTGAAGATTTCTTTACTTCATTCACTTTGGCAATGAATCTCTTTTCTATACCATTTAGCAAGTCATCCCTCTTGTCAAAGTCTGTTGAAGTGGCATTTCTTTTTATTTCATTTTCTCAAACATGTAAAACACTTATCCTGCAAATTAGGGAATCCAAGGGGCTTGTAACGATACTACTGAAATGAGGAAAAAATTAAGAGTAAATGAATCCAAAATAATTAAAAAATAGTGAGTACAGAGGAAAACAAGTACCAAGAAATACACCAAGAGATAGAAAATGAAGCTTTCCTAGCTAGTTTGAAGTCTTCACATCCGGCTTTGAACTGGAACTTCTTGTTCCTCTCTGCAGTTTTCCTCCTCTTTGAAAAGTGTCTGGAGTACAACCTTCATGCTCTCCCTGGATCTAGCCCTCTTGTTTCTCCCAATCAGGAAATAAATCAGTGGGTTAATACTGCAATTCAGGCAGCTGCATAATAACACAACAGATACTTTAAAAGATGAAACATTATAGTCCAAAGGTGGATTGAAAAAATAGATTAATGAAATGCAAGTAAATGGGAAAGCTAAGAAGAGGAAGATTATGAGGGCAAGTAGGATGGCTGTTAAAGCTTTTCCCTTCTTCCTCTGTTGTGATTGAAACCAAACTTTTATAAACAGGATCAGAGAGGAGACAGTCATAAGTGGGAGGAAAAGAACAGCATTTAACAGAAGCTGGTAGAAAAGGAGGTCCAGAAAAATATTAAAAATAAAAAGAATCAAGTTGATTACAGAGAACAGGAAAGAAATGATCCATATTGTGGCACACACAAAGGTGGAAAAGTGTGGTGGTCGGTGGCATCTATGCCAAAGGGGGAAAATGACAGAAACACACCTGTCCATGCTAATGGCCGTCAACAGGTATTGACCAGTGTTGTACATGAAAACAAGAAAAACTCAAACAACTGTACACACAAGCTAATATCCACAGATAAGGATGAAAATGACACCACAAGATACACAATCAAATAAGAAGATAAGCAAATGAGGGCCCCAAGGTCAGCAACAGCCAGATTTAGTATGAAAGTGGTGAAAGGATTCCTCTTCATGCAAAAACCAAGAAACCAGATGACAGTCCCATTCCCCATAAGTCCAAAAATGCTAATAACTAGAATTAAGAAATATAGAATATTTACTGCTGTAAGATATAGTGATGATTTGTGATCAAAACCATCCTGGGAGGTTAGGCGGTCAGTTCCATTTTCTGCTCCAATATCTTCCCATGAAGCATTCAAAGAGGACCAGGATCCCAGGCCATCATTGCTCATCTTGCTGGATCTCTACTTTTGAGCTACTCCTTGTATTGCTCTTCCTACCTGGAGAAAATAAACAAATGTGAAGTCAGTTTTGGCTTATAAGCTCAACCATATTAAACTGAGACACCAAACAATAATAAAAGAGACATGCTATAGTGGGAATTCATGACTGATAAACAAACACTTTAGGAATATAGTTCTTTGGAATGTTTGTCACAACTTATCAGTTTCCAAGGCTTTGGAGGGAAATGGAGTTCGCCGATGTGTTGTGGATCTTTCCTCTGAGTAAAAAAAACTACATTCACAACATCAATAAGCATATCATTTTAGAACTCAAATTCTCTTCCTCTGCTCTCTGACTCAGCCTTAAGATCAGAAACTAATGTCTTGTGTCGTAGACATTGGTTGGGTTGTGGAGAATATATAATTGGTGGTACTGCTATTATTGCAATATGGAATGATTTGCTTTGATTTGTCATTAATTGGAAGATTTTCAATGAAAAAGAATAAAAATTAGTTAAAAAACAAAAAAGAACAAGAGAGATATAGTTAGAAGTGAAAATCTTTTGAAAGCATCGTAACTGAGTGCTGTAGGTTTGAGTTGTGGAGCTCTCTCTCTCTCTCTCTCTCTCTCTCTCTCTCTCTCTCTCTCACACACACACACACACACACACACACACACACCAACCAACCAACACACACACAGAGACTGCATGAGCTAGATTTGAGGAAAGTAATTTCCCCCCAAAAGCCACTGGTTGTTTCGTGCCATTCTGATAGTGAGTGTTCCCTGTTTAGGCTGACATTCTGTTAGCTGTTGATGTCACTTTTAGAATGGGTGAGCTGCTTGCTGCCAGTGGGTTGGATAAGCGCATTAGCACATTGTACTGGGGCAATTAGTTTGTTCAGGTCCAAAATGAATCAGTTTAAGAGGAGCCCAGTTATTGACCCCCCCTCTTAGGAGATGGTGTGTGGAAGGCAGAAGGAAGTAGAATATTCTGTGCTGATAAAAGTAGGGGGACAGAGCATTTTCAGAAATGAATGTAACTCCAAAGAAACAGCAGATGTTTCGTCAAGCTTCCAGCTAGATGTTCAGAGCTCCAGCCACTAATTTTTATCTGTTCTTCAGCAGCTTCTCAATATCACGTGGTAAGATTTCCCCCCACCATTGGTTATCAATATGGCTTATGCAGGAGGAGAATCTTAACTTCTAAAGCTTCATGTCATACAAAGGAGTTCTTAAGGAAAGTGGGTAAGCAACTTCTAGGCAGAAGGAACCAGGCAACCAGGATACAAAAATATCCTTACTGATGATGCCATGTTTTACCTTTATCTTCCCATGTTCAAGCCAGTTAACAGCATTGTGAGTACACAATAAATGATATGCATACAAGGGTGTATCAAACACAAGACACATCATAATAAGAAAATAATTCATAAAACAAGCTCTTCATAAATGCCAACTCTTCAGTTTCCCTTCATGACTTATGATGTGTCTTATGTTATATATATCTGTGGAATCTGTGGATATTAACAAGTAGACGGTCCAGTTTACGGGTGGTCGAAGTCCTGGCAGAGGGAAAAAATAAATGCTCAATCTGAATAAGGCTGCAATCTAGCCAGAACAAGAGATGGTATTCTCTCTCTCTCTCTCTCTCTCTCTCTCTCTCTCTCTCTCTCTCTCTGTGTGTGTGTGTGAGAGAGAGACCTACATCATGTCCCCTTCCACCTGGTTCTTAGTGGTGATATAGTTTTGGATACAGGAACCCAAACATGGGAAGTATCAACTTGATATTACTGCACATGAGACTTCGATATGTGATATAGAAGACTCTGTATGAGAATGGTGTACAGTGGACGCTTGGGTTGCGAATGTGATCCGTGCGAGATGCACGTTCGCAACCCGCGGCATTCGCAACCTGCAGTAGTGCACCTTCGCATGCGTGGGTTGTGATTCGGTTCTTCTGCGCATGCGTAAAGAAGGATTTAGTGCTTCTGCGCACACGCAACCGTCAAAACTGAATAGTAACCCATTCCAGTACTTCCGGATTTTGGCATGTCCATAACCCGAAAAAACTCAACCTGAAAAACGCAATGCCAGGCCCTTGTTATCTGCCACCAGAGCTATCTTGCTTGAACTTCTGCAGAAGATAGTTGGGTGTTTCATGTGAGAGAAGACACTTAGAAAAGCATCAAAACCAAAACTGATTTTATGGGGAAAGTAACTATATATGTGATGATGATAGACGAAAGCATTCCAAAGTATTATGGGGATGATTGAAGTTCTGGACCTCAGACCACTAACCTCTCGTGTTGTAGACATTGAGGGTGGGATGGCTGGGTGGTAGAGAAGAGGAGTGTGAGAAGGAGTTGAACAGGCCTTGTGATTAGGGAAAGAAATGCCAGAATGAATTGGGATGGCGTGTGTTATTTTATTGTTATTAAAATGTGACTTTTAACAAAAGTGTATGAATAAAACTCAAGTTGAATTGAGATTACTAAGAAATATGAAAATCGGAAAAAGACCCACAATAGATTAGCCAGAGAGCAAGATTTATACAATGTGTAATGAATTAGACAAACCTTTAGTCCATCCTGCCTCGTACTTTCTGCTCTGACTGGATGTGGGAACCAAAAATTCCTGCCGTCTTCACCAGCCATCCACCCGGTATTCTTCTAACAGAACACTCCATGGAGTTAGCTTGTCCCACCTATCAGCCAAAGGTGCACAGCATTGTCATTCAGCTACAGATCCCCTCTTACCTTTGCTAATGAATGACATCAAAATTAGCTATTCACATACCTTTCAAAAGCTTTGGATCAGCATCCCTCAGGCAAGGTGAGTGGGAGCAGCAAGTGGTGCTGGAATAATCAGGTAATCGGAAAATTTGCAGAAATTGTTAAGATGCCTCATACGGCTCTTACCAAGATGGGTAGGATCCTTCCTTCATGTCTTCAGTTCTGTGCAACCCATTTGCCAGCATCATGTGATAAGATGACTGTATTCCACATTGGGTCTCAGGATAGCATTTGACAAACTCAGGAGGAGATTCTTGCCTTTTAAAGTTCAGTGTCCGAAGCAGGAACTCTTGAGAAGAGAGAATTTGCAAGTGGTAAGCAAGTCCAACTTCTCTTTGTCCCTCCTGTTGATACAGGAGCCCAAATATGGAAAGTATCAACCTATATTACTGCATATGAGACTGAAATACGTGATATAGAAGAGTCTGTATGAGAATGATATACTGGGCACATGTTCATGACTGTTAAATGTCAGGACCTTTTTATCTGCCACCAGAGCTATCTTGCTTGAACTTCTGCAGAAAATAGTTGGGTGTTTACTGTGAGAGGAGACAGTTAAATAAGCCTCAAACCCAAAACTTATATCATGGGGGAAAGTGACTATATATGCAATAATGATATGCAAAAGAATTCCAAAACATTATGGGGGTAGTTAAAGTTCTGGGCCTCAGACCACATTCAGTTCTCAATCCTTGGGTTCTATCCTTCTTCAGCAGTCCAACAGCAGTCCTCTCTTTTGAAGCATCATATTTACTTTTATTAATCACACACACACACAAGCACACACACACTAAGAGAGGGAGAGAGACAGCCACAAACGCAGACACAGACACTGACAGAGACTGCAGGAGTTAGGATTGAAGACAGTAATTTCTCCCTGTTACCCTCCAGGTGCTTTGTGCCATTCTGATAATGAGTGTTACTCTCTCAGGCTGATTTTTGTTTAGCCTTTTATGTGAGCATCTTGCTTCCTCTCAATTGCATTAGAGCCTTTGCACACTTTGGTGGGTCACTTAGGTTGTTCCAGTGAAAAGCTAATCAGCTTAAGAGGAGCCCAGTCATCTTTTCCCCTGCTCAGTGGTGACTCTTTCCTCTGCATTGCAGAGTGGACTGCATGGTTTCACCTGACTGCTTTATTCTCATGCCCCATCCCAATCCTTCTTAATAAGTGTTGACTAGAATGATGTGTCAAGGTGAGTCCATGGTGATGTTGGTTCTTCATCGTGCAAAGGAGTCTAGTGTAGCTTTGGATATAGCATCAATGGCTAGCATTGAGTGGAAAGTGCATTGTGGCATCATATGGAACCATCTCCCTCCTGTATCCACTGGTGTTTTTTTCAAAAACTTTATTGGAAAGATAGAGATACATTGATGTCATGAATCACTTCTGCTAATTGTCACATTGCCCCATAAAGGTGTAGATGGCAGAACTTTGTGTATTTCAATATGCACATAGATGGGATCCTCATAACAGAGTCCTGGTTGCGCTCGGGACCCAAGAGCTCACCTGACAGGGTTAAAATGGGGGGGGGGGAGCAGGAAGTCCTGGACATTCCACTGGGATCATGCTAGGTGGTTTTAGCCAATAGCCAGTAGGTGGTGTGATCCCTGGTGCTTTAAAAACAGCAGTATGATGCAAGTGAGGCACTTGCATTTGCACGACTGAACACCCGCCCACCCTCTCTAGTTTAGGTAGAGTCGTTTGGCCTTGCTTTGGTTTGGGTTGCCTGTTTTGGAACTGTGGCTGGGTAGGAATTTTTTTCCATTTGGCTGATTGGCTTTAGCCTTTTTGATTTTTGCCTACCCCTTAGCAAATCATCACAACTTGTAAAGTGATGGTTAGGCATTGGCTCAGTTGGATTGTGGGGAGGGGAGGTATGGCCATCACCTGCCCCTCCAGGAACTGG